TTGTTTTTTTTTTTTTTTTTTTTTTGCACTTACGGTTGCCGGACTGTTGTGTCATAGAGTAATTCCCAAAACAACCTGGCAGAGCATTCGCAGTGTCCCTTGTTCTGCAAACCCGGTTGGTTCTCTTTGCTGCCGTGGCAGTTCCAGAGCCCCAGGAATGTAAATTCATCCACGCTCCCTCACTCTCCCCTTCCAACCCCATCCCTAATCAAGACAGTTTTGCCCCTGACACTGGAGCTTTGCAGATAGGAACCACATGAGCAACCAGTGCAGAGGGGACTGAACAGAAATTACGCCCTGTGGAGTGCCGCGGATATGGCTGCAAACGTTAACATGTGCTAAGCAAAGTTTTTATACTGCCCGTCAGGTTTCCCGAGATGTTGGATGTCCTAGGTCCGGGCCAAGTGAGGGTCCATCAGGCCTCAATATTTTATAGTTAGCAAACTGATGAAAGGAAAGTTTAGAAATCTGATCCCGAATAATTATGATCACTCACCTGTATCAGGAAAATGTCTCCTTGGCTGAAGAAAAGCTCTCTGCCCGTGCACACGCGTCCAGACTGTGGGATTGCACGCCAGGGTGTGTTGACATTCAGAACTGTGGCTGTGGACTTACTGTATGATGTGTGTGAATGCCTAGGTCTAGCTCGAAGAGTTTTCTTTGCAGAAATCTCCTGTTGGAGACTGCAGCAGTCTGGATCCTGGGGGTGAGGATAGTTTTCTTGCAGTCTCCCTTGCTCCTGCTCAGGGTTCCTGGGAAAGCTACTCTGCTTGTGTGTGAGCCGTGTGTGAGTTAAGTCTCCCATCTCACAGAGTGAAGCGAATTCCTCAGAAAGAGAGACTTTTTTTCCCTGATATTTTCTCTCTCCTGTATGCTTATCCTTGTCACAGGTGTTAGCATCTTTCGTCTCTGTTCCGTGAATGTTCCAGGTGATTGCTGAAGAATCCTTTTCTCCTACGCAGGCTCGCATTGCTCACCCAGTCCTGCTCACCCGTGAAGCAGAACAAAAGCCCTGGATGGTGAAGACAGGAGACAGTAGCAAAGGCCCCAGGTGTTGTACAGGGACCGAGGGACGAGGAGGGAAGCCCTTAAGTGACAGTAGAAACACGGCATGAAATTGGTTTTGCCAGATTCTAGTTCATTCAGAATGAATCTAGAGAATTCCACTGCAGATAATCTCAGAATATTCCTACTGTAGGTATTAGAAGACTCTCTATGTAAGAATTGATACTCAGAGGCAATTATAATTTAATTTGGTTTTTCACGTGAGGGATGCTGTCCATCTGCCGTTCCCGTCACTGACCGTGCCTTCTTATCAATATTTGATGTTTTCATCATCTTTAACGTTTAGTTAGAACAGTTGATGCCATGTGGGATTTTTCTGCTCTTAAAATTTGGCGCATTGTGGCCAGGTGTTGGTGGTGCATGCCTTTAATCCCAGCACTCAGGAGGCAGACTAATGAGGTTCTCAGTGAGTTGTAGGCCAGCCTGGTCTACAAATTCAGTTCCAGGACAGACAGGGCGATTATACAGAGAAACCCTGTCTAAAAAAAAAAAACTAAAAAAAAAAGAATAAATGAAAAAAATAATTTGGAACATTTTGTACTTCCGTCAGATTCTCTATCTTTATGGTTAATTTCTCCATTTCCTAAATTACTACCAGCAGGATTTTGATGAGATTTGCTTATTATCTATGTGGCTTATTAAACTCTTACCTACATTGTCTTCCCTTAGGTTTCCCATCTTCTGTCTTCATGTAAACTCTCAATGTTTTGGATTGCAGTAATTTTAATATATTTTGAGGTCACCTGTGGGTTTGATCTTTATCTCGTAATTTTTAAATTCTTTGTTGTTTCTCATTTTCAAGTTTTAGGAAGATTTCTCTAAATTTAGAAAATTCTTGTAGGATTTGCTACTTAGAATCTTAAAAACATCCTTTTATATTTCTTCACTTGTTTGAATGAGTACATGCTAACAGTGAGTCAGTATTCTCATATACTGGATGGATTATATCATTGTATATTTAAAATATAGCAAAATATTTAATATGTATTATATATTTATATATTAAACATAATTACATTTAAACACATATTAATATATGTTAAATGCATATATATTTTACTTAGTATTCATTATGCATTCTTCTGTCTTCTGTTGATGCTAGCATTCTGAGTTTGTGGAGAAGACACTTTTTAAACATGTTTTTTTTTTCTCTGTTGGTTTTCAGTTTTTGAGACACTTTCTGTGTATTCCTGGCTATTCTGTAACTCTGAGTAGCCCAGGCTTGCCTTGAACTTAGAGATCCACCTGCCTTAGCCTCTGAATGCTGGGATTAAAGTCTTGCAACACCAGGCCATGTTGACTTCTTGGTAACTATGTGGCATTGTGTGTGTATGATATCATCATCAAAGTGGAGTTTGAAATCTTGCTTTTCTACCTAATTCTCCTTTTTATCCTTTGTCTTAATCAGATTACACTAGCCCACTCTTGTGCCTCTTGATTCATTAAGTCTGGAGAACACAAGCATCTTCCTCTCCTCACAGTTTTCCTGCTAATTCTTCTTCATTTTTTGTTGCATTGGAATGTGGGCCTATGTGTGACACATGAGCTCTTTACTGTGACCATGTGCTCTTCCAAGTTCTTTTAGGGGTTCATCATAAAATAGTGTAGAACTTTGTCTTCATGACATTTCCATTTCTTCTGGGATTTTCATACCACAGGGACTTTTTTGACAGTGTGTTTTGTTTGTCTTACTATCCTGGCTGGTTGATGACTAGCAGTATTTTTCCTTCCAGATTGAAATAGTGGTTTACTGTGTTTGTGTTTTAGACATGATCGCTATTCCTCATCTCTCCTTTATTTATCTATTCTTTATGTAAAAGTCTTATTTCCTGTGTTCTTGATAGGTTCTCTCTGAGTTATCTATGTATGCTTTGATTATGAACTGCAGTGTGGCTTGAGTTCATGACTTCTGTTCTTTCAAACTTTCAAACTTTCTTCACGTGAACTTCCTTCTCCATCAACTTTAAGAGGCCATGTTTCTGGGTGCAATGATAATGTTAATATTTATATTCTTTCACCACTCCAAATATACCCTTCCACGCTGCCCTGTCTGTAGGAATGTTGAAAAGACCTTTAGTGTCATTTTGGGTTTTGGTGTTCTTGTGTGTTTTGGCATTGTCTGTGACACTGTATTAATTTTACCTTTGCATTTTTGTGAAATGTCAAGAAGAGTTCTGGTGTGTGTTACTGAGACAGAAACTCAGAGAAGAGCCACAGGAAGAATGGATGATTCTCCTGTCAATGCACCCCAGGTCAGTGTCATGTCCACATTACTTTGCAAATTGTTTTTATAATTGAAAACATGTGAGCCTTTGTTTCTCTTCCTCTGGTTATGTCATCTGACTTAGGGTTTCTCTTGCTGTGAGGAGATATCTCTTATAATGGAAAATGTTTACATGCGACTTATGTATACGTTCTAAGATTTAGTCCTTTTTTGTCATGGTGGGAAGAATGGTGTTATGGAGGCTGACATAGTAGTAAACAAGGAGCCAAGGGTTCTACATCTGAATCAGCAGGCAAGAGCAAGAGAGAGACAGGAACTGAGTTGAGCTTCGAAAACCTCACAGCCTATCCCCAGGGATATATTTCCTCAAACAAGGCCAATGCTACTCTAACAAAGCTGCACTCCCTAATAGTTCTGCTCCCTGGTGACCAAGCATTCAAATCTATGAGCCTACGGGGCCATTCCTATCAAAATCACTACAGTGTTCGTTTTTGGTGTTCTTTTGTTTGTTTGTTTCTGTTTTTTGATTTTCTTTTCTGATTCTCAAGTTTAAGTCCTTAAATCTTTCAGCTCTGTAGCACAGCTTTTTCCCCTTTTGTAGCCTCCCTTGGTTATTTGTATGTGGATATGTATTTTTCAGGGGGTTAAGACCTGTAATTTTGTAAGAGATTCCATTGTAATGGCGAGAACTATATTGTTGACCGCTTTCTAAAGAGGATGGACTTGTGTCCTTATATATTAGGAAGGAAGGAAAGTTTAATGTGGAACATAGATTGCATGTCAGGGATGGTCAGTTTTCCAAAGCCAGGTTAATGGTAGTAACCATGGAAGTACATGAGACTTTGCTTTACGTCACTGTAGGATTAGCAGAGACACGCTGTCTTGAATCCTATTACTAAATATTTCAGCACCCTAGAAAGCACAGTTAGTGGAAGGAGTGTGTGGCTGGCTCTTGCTTACAAAACTCATGCTTTTTGTGAGGAGATGTAAATTTCAATGTAATGGGTTCTCTTTTGCATTTTGATGTCACACAGTGATGATAGGTGTGTTGTTGATACCTTAAATCTTTTTGTCTCAGGAGAGATCCTGCACATATCATACTCTTGATAAAGAATGCTCCATGCTAAGTTCGCAGTAGACAGAGCAGTGTTTTTCTCTGTCTTTTATTTTATTTTTTTAAGACAGTGTGTAAGCCCTGCTGTCTACCTCTATATTGCACCATGAGGGATATATGAGTTAGAATTTTCTAAAGACCATTGACTTGATGCTGTGTATAAGTCATCAATTTTCAAACCTAAACGAATGTCCCCTTTAATGCTTTTTTTCTTTTGGAGGAAGAAGGCTCCTCCAACTTTTTTTTTTTTTTTTCTTTCTCTGAAGCTATAGTTTACATATGTAAAGACTTGGAAGAATTATTGAGGTTGACAGGTTTCCTTTTCATTCTTTAAAAAATACTTTTAAGTATGTAAGTGTTCATCTGCATGTTTTGCTGTACACTGCATGCCTATATGATGGCTGAGGAGCCCTAACCCTTGGCATTCGAATCAGGTACGGTAGTGAGCTGCCCTGTTTGCAGAGAGAATGAAACTCAATTTCTCTGCAGGAACGTGAAATGTCCTTTACTTCTATGCCATCTTTCCAGTTCCCAGGTTTACATTTGTAGTGCACATTCAATATTGAGCCACTATGCAACCCTGTATCTTCTGTTTTTGGAAAAATTAAGGAGAAATCATGAATGATTCTTACCTTTGCAAACCAAAACCCTGTTACACATTTGAGCTCAAATACTGAATAAAAGAAGTGTTGAAATTTTCTATTGAGCCAATGTGCTGAGCAATAATAAATTCAAACCTAATAGGGAGTTAGAATAATTCTCATACACTTAATACCTTCATTTCAAACACAGAAAATCTTTATACTTTGTCTGAATGCATTGTCACTTACATTGTTTATTTGTAAATACTTTTCTCATCCTATAGTGAAACCTTATATCGAGTTTCTGAAATTGTTATTGGGTCTGTCTACTTTTATACAAATTTATAGAATATTAACACTGTCTAAGCCCGATTTTTCTATTTATTTTATGGCTGTAAATACTTGCATTAAAAAAAAACTTGACAAAATAGTTGAGTCTTTGGGTTGTTTTGTATGCTGGATTTGTGCACTGATGTTATACTCTTTACTATTTAAAGAAAAATCTCTGACTTTTAATTCATCCATTAATTTTCCATTCCATATTCTACCTCTTTGTTCTGGAAAGCATGCAGTACTGTACCTAGGGCTCAGGACTAAAGTGAGAATGTTAGAAGAGAGTCATGTGAGGCCCAGCTGTAAATAAGTATGGTACAGCATACATATTTGAGCAAGGCTGAGCATTGTAGAGTTTGGAATCACAATTTTGCTCATCCTAACTTTGCTTGTGAGATACGATTCTGTGAATACCTTTGATTTCAAGACAGCCTTTGTAAAGGTACATTCCTGAATCTAGACCTTAACTGTGTATCTTAGGTTCCTTACAAATTTGCTGATTGTGATACCATTTTGTCATTCTGTTTACACAAAGACAGGAAATACAATATAGAGCATTGGTATTCTGAAAAGAACCTTTCGTTAACATTAACTTTCACTTTTATCTTATTGTGTGGGTGTATTTGTCTGAATATATGTGTGCGTGCTATCTGGGTCTCCTGTCTATGGGATTTAGAAGAGAGGATAAGACACCATGGAACTGAAAAAGTGCCATCTGGGTGCTGTGAGCCAAATTATGATCCTCTAGAAGAGCAGCTAGTGCTCCTAACTGCTGAGCCTCTCTGTAGCATATTTAGAAAACCTGTGTTTGACTAATATTCATACCTCACCGGTATCACAAAATATCTCTATTTTTTTTAGTTGTCTTTTACCTAGGAAAGCATTTCGTCCAGCAGCTCGTGGTAAATGTGTAATTTTCCATTGCAGGGTCTGTTGACATTCTGGGATGTGGCTGTGGACCTGTCCCAGGAGGAGTGGGAATGTCTGGACTCTGCTCAGAGGACCTTGTACGTGGATGTGATGCTGGAGAATTACAGCAATCTAGTCTTTGTAGGTGAGAATGCTCTTCTTGTAGAATTGTTGACTTACCATTTGTATTTAACTATTTGTATAGATGTAAACTCCCTGAACCGTCTAGAGACTCCCAGAAATAAGGGAAATGCCGGTTACCCACATGCTCTTTTCTTGGTTCTTCCTTTACACTTGTGTTCTCTGGAATAGCAACCAGTACTGTGTACTGCTTCATCTCTCCAGCCCTGTTACTTGTTTTTAATGAAAACCTCAAAGTACAAACACAATTGAATATTTAGGACAAGGACAGACATTGCAATATACTGAGTAATTAAAGTGTTTTGATTTTACTATTGGATTAAGCTATTCTCCAATTTTTGAGTTTTTAAAAATGGAGAGTTTTGTTTTCAATACATCCCTTCTTCAGTTCCCTCTACCTCTTCTCCTCGCATGTCCCCCAACCCCGTGTCTCTCCCAGATCTACTTCTCTTTTGTTTCTTTTTAGAAAGGAACAAGCCTTCCAGAGATCTCAACACAGAGTAACGAGATATAATAAGATTATACACAGCAAAGCAGTGATGGCACACCACTTTAATCCCAACATTTGGGAGTCACAAATCAATCAGCAGACCTCTGAACTTAAGGCCAGCCTGGTCTACAGAGTGAGTTCCAGGACAGTCAAGATTACACAGAGAAACCAAAAAACCAGAACACAAAAGGGCTAGACACAATCTTCATATTAAGGCTGGATGAGGCAACCATTTGTTGGAAAGGGTCCCAAAGCAGTCAGAAGGGTCAGAGAGGTCCCCCTCACACTATTACAAGTCCCCAAAAAGCATAACGCTAACAACCATAGCATATATGCAGAGGACCTAAAGCAGACTCATTCAGTCTCTGTGACTGCTGCTTCGGTCTCTGTGAGTCCTTATGATCTGTACCTAGTTGATGTCTGTGGGTCATGTTCTCTTGGTGTCCTCAACCTTTCCGGCTCTTATTCCTTGCGGTTTGCTGAGCTCCAAGATGACAGACCTGATGGAGATCTCAAGTTTGAACTCTTTGCCTAATATTTGTCTGTGGGTTGTGCATCTACTCGTGTTAGTTGCTGCTGGTAGCCTCTGATGAGAATTGAACTAGGCAGTGATATAAGAGTATTTAAGGGGGCTGGAGAGATGGCTCAGCGGTTAAGAGCACCGACTGCTCTTCCAGAGGTCCTGAGTTCAATTCCCAGCAACCACAT